CTCAATAACAATGACAGTGAAAGGGGATAGGTGGATTAGGATACAGAACATGGTGGTTGGTTGGTGGTGGTTGGTTTGGAATCCGGGCGTTTAGCCAACTCCACCAGGTGAACTGCTGGTGGTTTACCGATCCGGTTATAGCTCCAAATATTGGCTTTTCATTTTCTCGCTAAGGTGAGAAAACATTTCTCCCGCTGGAAGGCAGTGAATTGTGCTTCCTCAGAAGAAGCTATATGAGACGCTTGGTCGTACAGGAGCATTTCGCGAGGTGCAAAGGAAGGGTGACCAGCCACAACGCGAGACACCCACCCTCGGCTATACTGAGGCTTTCGTAGGCAAGTTGCTCCGACAAGGCGGATATGAACCAAGTAGTGTAATAAACAATCACTGGTGACAATCACTGCGACACCCTGACTGTCATCAAATCTCTTCCTTGTAATATCTAGCGTTTTTTTTGTGATCAGCTCTCGGACTAGTAATTCGTATACGTATCGAAATCCGCGCAGTAATTGTCCAAGCCAGAACTAGGACTAGAAATGAAATCAGAACACAGAACTCAACAACAGAACGAACTGTAATAAGCGGAAAATCAGAATGTACAAGGATATCGTATTCAATAAGTTAAATTGTTATGGGTCCGTATTCCATAGATCCAACTGCGTGAATGCTGTTCATGACATGGTTGATTCTTCATCAGTTTATCTTAGAGCGCACAGCATTCTTGGCGGTGCTCATTGCCTCACAATCTATAAAACAGTATTTTCCATTCCCTAATGAGGCGCGGTCCAGTTCAATCGGATCTGCAGTTCACGAATGGTGAATGCTGTGATTCTAACTAAACATCTCTTTTTCCACTTGTTTCTTGCGCCAAAACGCGTTTGCCAAACTATTCAGGTGTCCCATTCCAAGTTGTGTTGGTTTCTCAAGCTTCGCCACTGTTCGCGTCATTCTGAATTTGCTTGGTTGTTCTGTTCCGTTCTCGCACGGGAAAGCATGTGCATCGCTATTTAAATCCGTATGGAAACGCTGACACTCACGCGAGACGCACGATCCGTGTCACGCCAATCCGATGGGGGACTGATATTTTGTAATCGGCGTTTTCACTCTTTTCTCAATCTTGACGTGGCCTAGTTACTCGCTGGTAATTATTAAGCCGGAACAAATACTGAACTAGATGATGCATTCAATGCCGTTTACGAGATTTATCATATATTATACATGCAATCATACACACACACACACACACACACACGTAATGCCGTCTCGTTAGGCGTCACCCTAACGCCACACTCCACGCTACTGCTAGACGAGGAAGAGGAGAATTCATTTAATTGCGTTCGTTGTCATGCTATCAAACCAACACTTCCCACATTCCTCGCCTTTGCGCGCTTACACACAAATGAATTGGAACACGTATTAAGTTCTTCCGAGGTGAATCGATATTTTGTCCCATTGCTTTTTATTATCTTTTTTTGATTCTTTGGTCTAAAGATGGCCAACCATCCATTCAAAATGCTTTTGAATCGACAAGTGTACACTACCTCGAAACAATGTAAATTGATTATAGCAGTGAACTGTTCTATTTGTGACCAAGTAATTGATGCTAGTCTTTTTCGAACGCGAGCAGTTTGCCTCCTCTGTGTTTCCATCTACATCTGCACCGTTTTGACCAAAGCATAACTTAAATTTGTTTTTGTCATTTTTAATTTGGTCGAAACTACTCCTTATCATAAACTTCTAATGGGATGGATCTCGGTTAGCTTTAGACCAATGCAAGCTGCCTTTGGCTATTCTTCAAAAATTTAATCATTTCAAACCACGTTTGTCATCATAAAACATTGATTTTTTTTCGCTTTGTGTAGAAGAGAACAGACTGTGGACGTTCATTTTCAAATAACAGACCAAGTGATTCACCAGATCGGAAACATTACTCAGTGGAAACGTTAGCTGCCGCTCTTTTGCACTTTTATCCCGCTAGTCTGTGGTAGATGGCACAGCGTGATGACAACTCACAGGCCCGTTCACTTCACCCCCTTCTGGTACGTCTGTGCTGCTGGCCAGGAAAGGCGACCGTTTTGCTGTGCCAGGTGTCACGTGTTGTAAGATCATCATCACCAACATCGTAGTACAGCTAAAGACAGTGAAAGTGAACTTTATCGATTGCAACCAAGCTCAGAATGTACACAAAGTAAGTGAGAATGCTCAAGATAAAAAGGGCTTGAGCGTAGTTGGAGGGCAGCAAAGAGAGTGAACCTCAACGGTCAACACCAGAGTACACAACCTAATTGTGCACACACACATGCATACATTCTGCCGCGATAAGAACACCACCGCAGTCTGTTCGTTCTAATATCCGTCAGTGTCTCTAATCCATAAATTAGTCTCTTTTGGGCCCCAGCCTGGAAGACGGGAGACACCTGGTCTGTTTAATTGCTCTGTTGATTTGTTCATATTTCATCTTTACATCATCCGGGTCCTGCACGTGAATTTCTGCGAATTATAAAAGCAACAGCGACCAAGACGTACCGGGGAATGTGACAGCTGAACATGTGCAATACGCATTTGTACCTGCCATTCTAAATTCCGACTTTTACACCGAAACATTCCCAAATACTCCTTTGTTTACTTTAGCGTTGACTGTACGCTTGCATCATCAAACTCGTTCCAAATCACCTCAATCGTCGACAATCGACGAATTCTAGATGAAGAATACCTTCCACGAGCAAATTCAGGGTTTTTGCTGCTGTAAAGCAGAACTGATCACATAGTGATGCAGTATAGCCGACCTTCCAGCTTCGAAAAAACATCACAACAGCTTCTCGGAAATGCGGGTTGTTAATTCCTTTTCTGTGTTACTGACATTTATCATGCTACCACCTAACTAGGAGACGCAATCCACCATTAACAATTCTTGACCATCAAGCAGTAAAGCCAGAATGTACAATACTCAGTCTTGCAGCATCATTTCGCAATTTGAAGGTGCAAAGCACATACCGAATGGAGTTGCAGAACTTGAAATTCTGGCAACTGCGTTTTGCGTATCCTCCATACGTTGAACCGAAATGGCGTAATAAGGTACTCTTGAAAAGCGCCGTTGCTGGTTTTGAACGATTTGCCTAGCCTGACTCTTACGCTATCAGAAGTCATTTCTTCTTGAGGGTCAGAACGAGCAGAGATTCGCTCCAGGATAAAGTCTTCCAATTAAATGCTATGTAGTAAACAAGTAGTTGAGTAGTTAGGAGAGTTAACCCGCGAGCTAAAAACGAACGTGTGGAAACCCGTCATTTCCGGCTTTCTTCCCTGGCTTCAGGCAGCTGGTTGAATAAAACTACTTACTTCCATTTCTGTTGAGCTCTCACATGTTACCGTCTCCTGAGATTTCCTTCGCAATAGCTGCAACACGGACTCAAGAGATGTTACAAAGAGCAAAATCAGATCTGACGGAAAGCAAATACTGGCCAGTTCAGCCGAGAGAAATGCCAACAAGATGGTCAACCTTCCTCACCAGATGCAAAAACGGTTTAGGAACGAGGGTGGAGGAGTTGGAACCGTGCTTTGCCGTTTGACACAGTTTAGCGCCGGATGAAAGTGCAAATGAACCGCAGGTGAATTTTCTACTTTGCAGCTCTTCAGATCTGGTGCATCATCTGGTAGTTCGTTTTCGTCCTGCCACATAAAATTCGTAATGTTCTCGGAGCCGTTATGAATATTGTATCGACGGCAAGGGAAATAAACTGTTGACCTCCATACACTATAGTGATAGCCACTTGACCACGGTCATCCAATTAGTATTTGCACCTCATTTATTTCAGTAATATCAAGAAATATTCTTTGGTCAGCGACCTCGATAAACTGGTTTGCATTGCTTTCTCCACCTCCTTTGCAGATATAGCATTTTCCGACGGCGTAGCGTTAGTCGACCGGGTCGGACAAACCTGATGCAGCGCAGTATTACCTCTGCTAGTCCAATGGATTACAGCAGTGCATCCACACCGCATCTGCTCATTCAAACCGGTCCTAATGATAACAGCTCCACTCTCGAATCGAATGGATCCCAGTTTGATTCGTATCCGAAAACCATGCCCACGAATTCCTCGTTTATCGCTGCCCTCAGTGCACTGAACAGCAATCTGTCGCGAACTTTGAACGGCAATTCTGTAGGAGGCACACCAACAAAGAGTTCCACCGGTGGGACCCCGAAACGGGGAAAATTCAAATCTGTCACAGTCAGTGGAGATTTGAGCAATAGTCGATTTACCAAAGTATTTTCCCGAGGCCGTCCCACTGGACAATCATTAGGGCATAATCCGGTCTCCAAGACACAAATGAATGATGTGGCTTCGCCGGTGCCAGACACAAAATCCGCGGTCGAAGCACAGGACGATCGATCGTCCACCTTGGTTCGTCGATCGTCTGCTCAGCCAACAGCAACCGGTGACGTTGTACGGGCTTCTGTGTCCAGTAAATTTTCCACGCCCACATCTTCACCAAGGCATATGACAGAACAACAGAAAACCACCCCATCTCGAGCCGGGGTCAAGGTGAGTCAGTTATTGAATCATCACACTCCGAGTTGTCCGTTCTTGTTTGGCTGGGCATTTCACGGGAATAGGTGATTCTGATCAACCCCCTGGCAATGTGGTGAGGTCGCTACTGTTCTCACCATAACAATGGAAGATGAAACCGTAAAATCTTTAGAGTATCTTTTAAGGGGAATCAATAGGTTCAGTCGAATAATCCCAACAGAAAGATTAACCAACCAATTGCTGGATTTATTCATAGCTGAATTCGGTGTTAGCTGAGTAAGTCATTGGAAAATAACTGAAGAGGTCTTTTCTTCTTTCGGTGTTTAAATCAGTGGAGTATATCCCATTTGATTCAGACAACGAAAATCAGCACAATGGACGGTTTGATTTGAATTGTTCGACTAATTAATCTCCTTAGCTACTTACTTAGTTTGCAATTACAATGTTTATTTCCCTCAATGAGACCACCGTTATTTGCACTGTTTTTGTTTGAATTGATGATTCCTCGGGATTAGCCTTTGCAGAAATAGCCTTCGCTTAGAAATAGCTCTCTTCGATTCTCTTCGTCTGACCTCATGAAGATATGGATAATCTTAGATACTGACATCAACCAGGATGAAAAATCGATGATTTCAGTATATTAGAACAGATGATCTCGGAGTTTTCCAGATACTAGAAAACACAGAATCCCACAGATATGCACTCTTTTTAAACTATAACAATCTAATTTCTGTCGTAGATCTATGAATTAGGTATTAAACCATGCAGTCTATAAACTGGTGCGGTGATTCGAGTATACTGTTACTATGATTTGTGCCTTCGTGTATCTACAAATAAACGGAAAGGCTTTACGCTCGATTTGTGGAGAGTTTTCTAAGGAGCTTCTAATGATGGGGAGGTCAGGTTATCTTTATGGTGGTAGATTATAATTTTCATTTACTTCTCGAAAAAAAGATTAAAGTTATATTGACGCTAACGCCTAACTCATTCAGTGGATATTGATGATGTCCTGATTGACACGTTTGCTCTCCATGTTTCAAATGTTTTATTATTAATGTATGCAGCATACAACGTGGATTTTCGACCAAAGTACTGTCTGACCTCGTCATTTGTTCACCCATATTGCATGTTGTGCACCGAAAGTCGCTCTTGGAACGATCTGAAGCTTCCTAGATGGGTGGTCACCATGCACACATAATTAATAGCCCGGTCAAATCCAGGTTAGAGGACAGGAACCATTGTGTATTCTGAGCGCATTGATTTCTCAAAGGTGTTCTTAGATCAAAAGATTTACTGTTCTCTTCCCTCCCTCCCCCCCCCCGCACATTTTGTGGGAAATCGACCTCAAGAANNCCTCAAGAAGTTCGCGAACACAGTGCATTCATGCTTCGCCTAAATATTCGATTTTTAACCGTGGTTCATAAGATACCTGTAATTGTTCGCGTATATGAAGAAGACTGCTTTTATTTCACATCGGTCCACCCCTCCCGTTCTGTGAAATGACCTCTACAGATTTTCGAGGTTAACAGTCTTTCCAGTGTGGTTCGCTATGAATTCGGTTACAGCTGCTATGGGGAGAATAGACATCCATCCGATCTTTTATCACTTTAGTCCCCTAATCAGTGTTTATTGTAAGATTATAAGTTATCTTGATTCCGGTTGGCTGTGAAATTCCTGCTATCTACTCTGAACCAAAGTACGAACTGTTGCCTATTAGTTCATGATAGTTGTTTTCCTGGTATTGTCGCTCATGTTGAAGCATTCCGAAATCCGCTTCATTAGAAAGTTCGCGAAACGTTCGTCGTTCATTGGTTTAAATAATTTGAGGCTGAAGTATACTGTATCTCTTTTGAAGAGGTTCAAAAGACTTATTTTCTTTACATACAAAGCGTGATAATTGATAACGTTTGGATTAGTATAAGCTCCGCATGTAGAATTTGTTGTCTTCCTGCTGTGTCGAACTGAATATTTCCGCTGCCTCACGACCTTAAACACCATAACAGTTGGATAGAGCTCCAGTCAGGAATAACCACTCGTCATAATGCACTTCATATTCAGTCCGTTTATTGCAGTTGTCAACGCGGTAAATGTCATTCCACTTCGTGAATAATTTAGAGATTTGCAATGAGAGCCAAACCGGTTGGCCTGATCACTATAGGATAATGCTGTCGCCAAGTCGGTTAGGTTGATGACGTTGGCTGAACGGTGCCATCGCATGCGCATTGACCGCTTGTTACAACATGCGTAACTCGTCCACACTTGTCACATCGATTCGTGTGTGTTCATGTGTGGGCGCGCGTGTTGTAACAGATTTCAGTTGAGATCAGACCAAACAAATGCAGACAGTGTTGATTTCCCATCAAACCGTTGTCAGTGAGTCATCGATACAAGTCAGGATACATTCTGATAGCCACTGAGTGCGCTTGTCAGATGGTTCCCATTCTTCTTCAGGTGAATGACGAATAAGTGCAATCTGGACGGAGTCGAAAACTCCTATACCCCTCCCCCTCCCAGTTCAGAACAGAACTAATTCGTCCATTTCACTTCTACAACAATGCTGCTATAGGAATTTGGAGTGTGGAAGTGTGAAGATCTACAGGGTCTAGTCTCTCAGTTTTGCCTCACACCAATCCACACAAAATACTGAATACAGTGGTTCCTTGGAACATACTCCCGAAAAGCGGTCGCTCCTTTAATCGAACGCTTTTCAGTTGTCTGAATTGATTTTACCATGGAAACACCCCCAAGGCGAATACCTCCCTCGAGCACACGTGGATATCATACCGATAGAAAAAGTGGTTTAGCTCTGTGACAAAGACAGTTTGTAGCCCCTCTTTTTGTAACAGATACCATACGCTACACTTTGTCTGGCCTCCGTGAACAGTTTAGATAATCCAGGTATCACACAGCAGATCGCGGGAAACGCTTGATAAGTATCAGCAATGGATAGTCAGATAGATATTCTGCTCAGGAGCTGCTGTGCGTACGCAGTTGTCCAAGGCCACCGCTGTCCGCTCCGGTGGTGGTTGTTGCGAATGCCAAGCTCAGTGTGGTGCATCAGGCCTCCGAGATGACATCAGCCAAGCACCTGCGCGTTACAGCTTATGGATATTGGAACATATGTCAAAAGTACTGGCTAATCCAAAGCCACGAAGTTCTAACAGAAACTGTATGACTCGGAGGGCGAGAACGGCGAATGGTTGATGTCCGTTTGCCCAGTAATATTTCTATTTACCCATTATTTATTCCCATTGATTTTTTTCAATAAATGAACCGGTACTTCTGGGGGCTTTTTCCCTACGTCTCAATGACGGGAGATTACTGTCTGCGATTTCTAATGTGATTCATTTCTTCATTCGGCACTGTGATCCGTGCCTATTCACTTTGTGTATTTACTGTAACTTCCGCAACTCCCAGAAATCCTGTTGGGGCGGTCAATGAGAAACTCTTTTCCAGACCATGGCGATAAACGTTATTAGTTCGCTTGTTGATGAGGTTTCTGTGTTAGGAGTCCGACCTCGTTGCACGGAGAATTTTAATACATATAGGTGTGCGAAAATGACTCCAGCATTAAAATTAGTTGGGATCAGAGAACTTCAACTGATTGGAAAATGCAGATAGGGACGAACAAGAGATGGCTGAATGAGACAAAAAAGTGCACTTCAATCATTAAACATGCGGCGAGCATTTCGAATCATCCGTGGATTTGATTCATCAGATGGAAAACCTATAAGGCCGGCAATGCAGGAAATGAACTTCATTCTGATAAAATAAATTGTTCCTAAAAGCTTGTTTTGTATCTTACTTCAACCACTATGCGCACCACTAATTTCACAGTAACCAATCAAAAGATGGACAGCTGGTCATGTACTGCTTTATTTTCTGGGCGTCCGTCCCAAAAGCAAATACCCACACGGAGCGGACAAATTTGACGAAGGAGCACTGAATTATACGTGACTTACTGAAAGAAATCTGTTAGTAACTGTAAGCTTTTGTGCCGAACCCGAACTCATAAGCCTCACGAAGTTCAAAAGGTCATTCACCTATTACTGTTCCAGACTGCAGTTTTTCATATCTTCCAATTCTAGAAATATTTTGTGATGATCCCACTCTCCGAGATAACACTAGCCACGGAACTACACGTAACAGTTTCAGAACAACCAATCGGACGCCAGCAGTTTCGACCGGTCATAAAACATGTGGTTCGAACAGGAGTCATGTGATAAAACAAACGCGACCGGCGATTGGTCAATGCCTAGTTAGCCAGCGATATTCCTTCATGCGTGTTATTTAATCGTCTTGATTCTTTTGAGTAAACGAACCGCTACTTGACATTGGTAGATTTTGGCAATTTATTTTTGGTGTGATTCTCGATCGGTGCATATTCACAGAACCAAATCCTTGTATCAAAATTTTTGGATATTGACGCTGATTAGTTGGCATTAATAGTCACGTTCGAATTACATAAAAATTTACGAACAACAAGGTGACTCAGTCTGATTTCTGCTATCAGCCATTGTGATCTATCTTATCCACTTCTAGCTATGTTCGAGTGAAGTGCATTTCGAATAATGGCCTGAAATCACCGTCTAAGCAATCAAGGGTTCTGCTGAAGATCACATCTTTCTTTGCTCAGTATCACAGTGGTGCACTCAGTCGTTTATCATTTACGATTCACTTCTTCCCCACTGGAATTCAACGCTGAAACCACTCATATTATGTGAACGTCGGAAAGGGGATTTTGAACGAAGTCAAAAGTTTTTTATCAACATACTGGCTATGGGAAAAATCTCTTAAAAGGTTATTGAACTGCATTTGATCGATCTTCTGCCCTAGTAATTTACTAAACAGATTTTTCTTCGGAATAATCAGTTTGGTGAAACACCGTCTGCTTTTCTATTCTTGATACTAGTTGCTTGGTATTACGCTCAAGATCAGTAGTTGTTCAATTTTATTGAGCATTCATTCACGAGAAGATGTGCCATCTCAATCTCAATGTTTTCCTTTTTCAGCCCAGTGATGCTCCAATGGTTGATCCTTTCACCCAGAGCACCGGTCGAACTCGTATGCGAGTTGTTCTTGGTCAGACTCCTCGAGTGAACACTGTGTCAACCACCGGATGCATTAGTCCCCAGCCTGGGAACGTAGTATCCGCCACACAGTCACCGATATCAGCATCATCAATTTCCTCTACCTTACGTGAACTGGCCAGTCCCACCAGTTTACCCAGCCCATCTGTCAGCCCGACCGCAGATGGTCGATCCCAGGCATTCCCAAACTCCGGTCCGGTAGATTCATTAGTCACTATTCCCACCACGACCATCCCGGAAGAATTGCCCAAGTCAACTGTTTCCTCACTATCCCTGTCAACTAACGGTAGCACTCCCCTAACGAAGCCGATCGGTGAA